GTAGAGCTGACAGGGAACAGTATATACGAATATATTCACCCGGCAGACCACGAAGAGATGACGGCTGTGCTCAACCTCACGCCTCAACCAGTCCCTCACTCTCCCTACGTGAGACAAGGTTAGTATGTGTTCCTCATTCCTCCTCATTACCACGCCACAGCTGGCTCCCATCAACACCACACCACAGCTGGCTCTGTCAACACTACGCCACAGCAGGCACCGTCAACACCACACCATAGCTGGCTCCGTCAACACCACACCACAGCTGGCTCCGTCAACACCACACCACAGCTGGCTCCGTCAACACCACGCCACAGCTGGCTCCGTCAACACCACACTACAGCTGGCTCCGTCAACACCACACCACAGCTGGCTCCGTCAACACCACGCCACAGCTGGCTCCGTCAACACCACACCACAGCTGGCACCGTCAACACCACATCACAGCTGGCACCGTCAATACCACACCACAGCTGGCACCGTCAACACCACACCACAGCTGGCTCCGTCAACACCACACCACAGCTGGCTCTGTCAACACCACACCACAGCTGGCTCCGTCAACACCACACCACAGCTGGCACCGTCAACACCACGCCACAGCTGGCTCCGTCAACACCACACCACAGCTGGCTCCGTCAACACCACACCACAGCTGGCACCATCAACACCGCATCACAGCTGGCACCGTCAACACCACACCACAGCTGGCTCCGTCAACACCACACCACAGCTGGCTCCGTCAACACCACGCCACAGCTGGCTCCGTCAACACCACACCACAGCTGGCACCGTCAACACCACATCACAGCTGGCACCGTCAATACCACACCACAGCTGGCTCCGTCAACACCACACCACAGCTGGCTCTGTCAACACCACACCACAGCTGGCTCTGTCAACACCACACCACAGCTGGCTCCGTCAACACCACACCACAGCTGGCTCTGTCAACACCACACCACAGCTGGCTCCGTCAACACCACACCACAGCTGGCTCCGTCAACACCACACCACAGCTGGCTCCGTCAACACCACACCACAGCTGGCTCCGTCAACACCACACCACAGCTGGCTCCGTCAACACCACACCACAGCTGGCTCCGTCAACACCACACCACAGCTGGCTCCGTCAACACCACACCACAGCTGGCTCCCATCAACACCACACCACAGCTGGCTCCGTCAACACCACACCACAGCTGACTCCGTCAACACCACACCACAGCTGGCTCCGTCAACACCACACCACAGCTGGCTCCGTCAACACCACACCACAGCTGGCTCCCATCAACACCACACCACAGCTGGCTCCGTCAACACCACACCACAGCTGACTCCGTCAACACCACACCACAGCTGGCTCCGTCAACACCACACCACAGCTGGCTCCGTCAACACCACACCACAGCTGGCTCCGTCAACACCACACCACAGCTGGCTCCGTCAACACCACACCACAGCTGGCTCCGTCAACACCACACCACAGCTGGCTTCGTCAACAACACACCACAGCTGGCTCCCATCAACACCACACCACAGCTGGCTCCGTCAACACCACACCACAGCTGGCTCCCATCAACACCACACCACAGCTGGCTCCGTCAACACCACACCACAGCTGGCTCCCATCAACACCACACCACAGCTGGCTCCGTCAACACCACACCACAGCTGGCTGTCAACACCACACCACAGCTGGCTGTCAACACCACACCACAGCTGGCTCCGTCAACACCACACCACAGCTGGCTGTCAACACCACACCACAGCTGGCTGTCAACACCACACCACAGCTGGCTGTCAACACCACACCACAGCTGGCTGTCAACACCACAGCTGGTACCATATTTACATCAGTTATCCCATTGATGTATACAGTTTCTTTTCCATTTGAAGCTCGCAATTAAAAAAAATTAAAAGCCATAATTAATGCTAACATTGCTGACTTATACAAATTTATTATTTCTAAATTTATTCTCTACAACAGATACTGTATTTTGTACGTTGCAAATTCATTTGTTTTCCATTTGCTAAATCTGGAAAGTGAAGTTTTCCTTCTCCCGTTTTCTGTTGACAGACGAAGAAATCGAGCGGACTTTCTTTATACGAATGAAGTGCGTGTTAGCGAAGAGGAACGCAGGCCTTACGACAGGGGGATACAAGGTTAGTTTTCCCGTGACCGCTACGCTCGGTTAATGGTAGTCGATTATGCGGATCGCAAATCATTGTATGTAACTTTTTCCGATCTTTGATTTTTTTTTTTGTAATTTGTTTTTGTTCATTTCATGTGAATTTTATATTTTCTCTTATGTGATTATTTTGTTGTGCGTTTGTCAATTGTTTCGTGCGATTGTCTTCTATTTTGATTCGTTTGATTTTCTCTCTATAAATTAGGTATTTTTAATCTTTAATTATCTATAATATAAGAGAAAACTCTGTTCAAAGCTGGAAGCCAGACGTTAGGGTCTGGCTGCGCTCAAGGGAATACAGATTTAGGCATTTTAGTCGGTCCCAATAGTTTAGATGCTTTACTGAGTGGATTCTAGCAGTAAAGGATCTCTGCACGCTCTCCAGGTCAGCAATTTCTCCAGCTTTGAAAGGGGCTGTCACTGTGCAGCAGTACTCCACTCTAGAGAGAACTAACGTCTTGAAAAGTATCATTATCGGTATAGCATCTCTAGTGTGAAAGGTTCTTGTTATCCAGCCTGTCATTTTTCTTGCAGTTGTGACGGCTACTTTATTGTGTTCTTTAAAGGTAAGGTCTTCCGACATGAGTACACCCAGATCCTTTACATTGCCTTTCCGTTCTATGTTATGATTTGACTGCATGGTCTCGTGGTTTCCGTTTTTATGTTTTCCTTTTTTCCATAGCGCATGAGCTGGAACTTATCTTCGTTAAACACCATATTATTTTCTGTAGCCCATAGAAAGACCTGATCTACATCTGACTGGAGGTTTGCCGTGTCCTCTACGTTGCCAACTCTCATGAAGATCCTAGTGTCATCTGCAAAGGATGATACAGTGCTATAGGTTGTGTTCTTGACTATGTCCGATATGAGGATGAGAAAGAGTACTGGAGCAAGCACAGTACCCTGGGGGACTGAGCTCTTCACGGTTGATGGACCGGATTTGATTTTGTTGACTATCACACCTTCCTGTCAACAATACTGGCTGTCTTATACCGAGCGAGACAGCCCCAAGCAGCGGGTCACATTGTATTACAGACGACAATGGGAGCCCAAGAGCTAGCTTCTGAAGGAGGAGGTGGTGGCAGCAGCGCGCAGCTGAGTGTGTTTACAAACATGTTTGACATAACGCTCACAGCAGCGCGTGTTTGGATGAGTCTCACTCCACATTGTTGTAATCTTTTTGACGCACTTGCGCTCAGGGAATTTTCTTATCAAAGCCCCGGGGGCTTATAACTGCTGTAAACAAGCGTGTGGTTGGTATGCGGAGGGAGGGAGAGGGAGGGAGGGGAACCAGAGAGGGAGGAAAGGAAGGAGTACACACACAGGATGAGTACAAGCAGGATGAGTACACACAGGATGAGTACGCGCAGGATGAGTACGCACAGGATGAGTACAAGCAGGATGAGTACACACAGGATGAGTACGCGCAGGATGAGTACGCGCAGGATGAGTACAAGCAGGATGAGTACACACAGGATGAGTACAAGCAGGATGAGTACGCGCAGGATGAGTACAAGCAGGATGAGTACACACAGGATGAGTACGCGCAGGATGAGTACGCGCAGGATGAGTACAAGCAGGATGAGTACACACAGGATGAGTACGCGCAGGATGAGTACGCACAGGATGAGTACGCGCAGGATGAGTACGC